CTGCTCTCTTTTCCCTGACTGCAGCACGGGTTCAACTTCCAGCTGGTGAGTCCAGGAAGCTTCCAGCTGTGCCCACCATAGCTTGGAGGAGGAAAGAGGGAGCAGGGGGCAGTGCGGACACAGTTTACAGATACCTGGCCCCTATGTAGCTCCCCACAGGCTGTGGTGCAGCCAGAGAGCAGGGGGCTTGGAGAAGCAGCAATGGCACGGATGCGGCTCCCCCTGCATGGTTCTGGCATGGGTGCAGGGAAAGCCCCTTGCCATTGATGCACCACTAAAACCAACCAGTGCATGTTGGACTGGAGCTGGGTTGTTCTGTCCCATGGCTTGTAAAAGGTTGCCAGATCATAAGTTAGAGCACTGGATGAAAGCTCAAGAGACCTGGACCTGACCTTCTGGGGGACCTTGGCAAGCCACTTCATTGCTCTGTGCCTCAGTTTCCCCATCTGTGACTGTAGCGTACAGTACTGACCTCCTTTATCAGAGAGCAGGGTGTTGCTAACAGACCTCGTAACAGTACAGGCAGTCCTTGACTTACAACGTTTCGAGTTACAAGGTTTCACACTTGCAATGTTTGTAAATTGACACCCTGTTTCAACTTTCTGATGTCAGTTTTGACTTTACAACGCTTGATCTGACCTGATGCCATGCCAGCAAACAAGTTTGCTACATCGCCCATCTCCCCGGAGAACATCTGTCCAAATTTCCTTGGACACTTTCTTTAAGAAAGCAGACAAGACTCCAGAAAAACCTGCAGCCAAGACTCCTGAGAAGACTCCAGCCAAGAGCCCTTCAAAAAGTCCAGCAAAGTCACCTTAAAGAAGTCCTTCCAAATCAATATGATTGCTATTTACGATAGAAATACATTAATGTAGCTATATTACTTATCTATAATTGATTGAGTACAACATTCTGGATTATTTTTGGTGAAAATAGGGTATTGGGCCTCGGTTCAGGAACCAATCCCCCATTTATAACATTGTTTCCTATGGGAAATCAGTTCCGGGTTACAACGTTCCGACTTAAGACGCGGTTTTCAGGAACCAATTGTGTCGTAAGTCCGAGGACTGCCTGTATTAGCACTTACCTGGAGGTGTGTGGTCAGGAACAAACTCTGATAGAGTGCATTTCATTAAGGGCTTCAGCAGTGCTCCTAGTATTTTACAGATACATGCAGCCCTGCTCCAAGATACCATGAATCTCCTTTGGAGAGAGATGAGACAAGCCAGATTCAACCAGCCCCTGGTGTACTAATCTGATCTGAAGAGAGCATGGGCTTGCAGTAAAGGCTTTGCAGAAAATAAGGGGAGAACTGAAAAAGGCTTGCTTGGTGTGTAAGACCGAGGCAAGTCCAGCCTGGGGAGGGGGAAGGTGCAAAGGTGAGAGACAGAGAAAGAGAGTATGTACGGTGTGGATAGAAGAGAAACTTGGACCAACCCCAGGAGGAGCAACAGAAATGCAACTCCAAACATTCATGTCTCTGAAGATGTGGAAGCCTTGCTGAAGGGTCAGACACAAGAGCCACGCAGGATCTTGCAGGGCTACGGCTTGCAGTAGGAAGGTGGTTCACATGGCATGTAAAATGAGATCCAGTCGGCTGTTGATTTGCAGCTGGAGGAATCCCATAGCTAGAACAATTTGAATGGCTAGTGAAGGCTCGTCAGCTCCTTCACTTTGTCAGAATTTTTCAGAGCATAAAATTTAGTTTAGATCATTGGACTTGGAATGACCTGTGTACTCATGCTCTCGGTTTTACCATCCGTGAAATGGACACAACAACATCTGTCTACTGTCCGTAAAGTTCTTTGGAACCCTTAGCTGAAAGAAGCAGTGTAAATGCAAAGATTAATCCCACCTGGTATCATTTTATAAAAATGCCAGAAAAAAATGGAAAAATAAGCTCTGACTTGAGTCCAGACCATATAAGGGAAAAAACAGGTGCTTCCCCTATGGCTGTACTTGCATTCCACATTGACAAATATGTGGGCATTTAAATCATTGCTGGAGGCAAGTCAGCAGCCACACACTTGACGATTTGAAGTGGCAGAGCTAGGCAAACCACACATACAAGCTCCAGCAAAACCCAAGATGCATGTGCATAATAACCCCACACCAGAAAGATACGGGGCTTATTCTCTGGAGAGAATTCCTTCTTCATTAGCTTTTGTGTTAACCCTTTGTGAGCCTCCTGCCATTTGTTCCACACCAGGAACTCTGAAAAAACACGGGACATCAAACCCCTTCATATAATTGCATCAGCAGTGCCATGTATATTGAGAGAGAATGAAAGCAACAGTTCAGAACTCATTAGAAGGAGCTTTTATATGCTCTGATTGAAATGATCCATTGTGATTTTTATACATTGTGATCACTAATCTGATGTGTTTCAGCTACTGGACATGCTCCCAAGCACAGTGTGACCAAGAAATGATTTAAATGTGTGTGGAATGAACAGAGGTAAATAGCAGGTTTATAAAGCGTTAAAATGTGGGGTTTTTTCCTCTAATACAAATTGAAGGAAAAATGCTGTTTGAAGTGTAATAGTGAAGGGAGGTAGCAGCAGTGCTTTGAAGCTGACCGCAGCGTGGCAGAAAGCCTTCTGACTGAATACAAGGGATAAGCTTTAAAAAAAGAAGAACACAATCTTTTCTAGAGCCCCTTAAATAATTTAATGACTGATCATTACAAACCCATACAATGTTCTTTCTCAGGTACATGGAAACATTGAACTACAATTTCAGGTTGGCTCTGGCCCCTTGCCAAGATCTAAAACCCCTGCTGTTGTTGTAAAGGTAACAATATTTTTAATTACTTAGTGTCACAAAGATGTTGAGCTCCCTTTGCTTGAGCACTTCCCAGTCCCAATGAACCTAGTGTACTTTAAGCCTCCAGAGTCCAGGCTGACTCCAGTTACTTCTATGGGCTTGGGGCCTCTAGGCCTCTCTTGGGGAGCCAATTATCTGCCTAGCATCCTCTTCTGAGAGCTGGGACATACTGTACAGCAGTCTGTTTTCCTGAGTCTTGTTCTGACCGCTCAAGCTCCTTCCCAGGTAAAATGTACCCTCTTCCAGAACACCAGCCCTGTGGGTGCTTTGGCCTACAGTTTAACTCTTTTGGTGCATTTGATAATGCAAGCAAATAGATAGAAACAGACTTTGCACAGAGATCCTGACAATATCATTGCTCTTTTCGTAACAGCATGAATGATAAACCCTGCAGACATTTCCCTATTTCTGTTTCCTCGTCACTGGAGTATTCTTTGGGCAGCGGTCAGGTACTCTGAGGGTCCAGGATCCTTTTGTACAGCTGTCTGTCTTCTGGACCATCAAATCCTTCCACTCAGGTTGCCTTCTTTGACCCTGGTTAGTTCTGTCACCAAAACACCCCTTTTCTGCTAAAATACTATGTTCATCTTCACCTCTGTCACCCACGGCTGCATTTGCCTGCGAGGCTATGCCCTTTTCCTCTTATGTAAGTTTATTTTGGATTTTACCTTGTCCCTGTGCCCAGCCTGAAGACTGTCCGCTGAAAATATCAGTTTTCCCAAGTCTAATCAACTTTCTTAGAATACCAGTTTTTGGCCAACTGCCTTTAATACTCTTCAGTTTCCCTTGTGTGGCAGGAATGTGCTAGAAGTCTTGTCAGCAGAGGGATGTACATCCCCAGAGAAACATTTCACAATGCAGCAGTTTTTATAAGAACGTTACACTTTTTGATCCAACTAGGTAGGCAAAATTGGAGGCCTGCTAGTTATTCCAGTTTGAAGGAGAAATGGGTGGTGGGCTAAGGTATTTCTTTGATGCAATCTAATTTATTTACCAGGAACATACACAGGTCTTGGTAAGGAGGAATCCACAACCCAAAGACAAACTGCCCTAAAAACCACTGCCTCATTCCTATTTCACTTGAGTTCAATAGACACTTTGCCATTGTCTTCAGGCTCTGTAGACACATGGCCACCGTGAAATCTATTGTCCTCTAGATTGAAAGAGAACAATCAGATTAAGACCCAAGGTGTAAACCTGGTTTAACTGAAGTCAATGTCAGTTTTTTCCACTGGCTTCAACTGAGCAAGAATTTTACTCCTGTATATTGCAGAACAACAACAGGTGGAGACATTTGGTCCAAAATCTTGGTCAAATCCATATTCTCCATGGGCTATTTAGTATGCATATGGAACAGACAGGACCTCATTATTAAGGCTCTGATTCCAAAAGAATTCTCTGCAGTGAGCTGCATTAAACTCTTATTTATCTATCTCAGAAGGATAAAGACATGAATTGATCTTAGCAAAAGTTAGGCTGGCAGTTCTACAGAGAATACTTATTGCAAAGCAAATGTCACTAACCTTTCTCCCTTCAGGGTTAGACTAGGGGTTTATTAAGCCCCAGAGACACAAGTAATTGCCTCAACTTCTTGCATCCCACCAAAGAACAAAGCTGTGCGGGCCGGGAGCGGTCCGAGGCCTTCGGGGGTGCGCGGCAGGCTGTGGCCAGCAGCCCTGGCACGCGGGTCGGGGAATGCAGGCCGGCGGACTAGAATTAGGCACGGACGTGTAGCAGTTGATTAAAGATTATTTTACTTACACCGTAGATGGTCACGGTGCAGGCAGGAAAAAGCTTCGCTTAAGTTGCAGTTACAAAACTTGTACAAACAAGACCCGTAGAAAAACTCGAGCCTCTTGAAATAACTCGGGCAGAGCTCTGGAGACACACACACGAAGTTTGCTAGGCTCCGTGGAACGAGCGCGCAGGGAAGGGTTTGTTGAGGGATTAGGCGGCGATGGGGAGAGGCTAGAGGTTGATCAGGCCCCTATATCCTTCTTAAGGCACACGCTGGGTTTGTTAGGCTCCACAGCGCGCTTAGAGTTCTTCACAGGCGCAAACCGCCAAACGCGTTTTATACGCCTAGAAAGCCAATCGCTAGCCACCACATGGGAATAATTTAGAAACAGCCAATAGTGGGGAACAAATTTGCACGCGGGTGGCGGGAACTCCTTTGCACCGGGGTTTTCTCTATGCAACTGAGAATTGCACCGTGCAAAGAAAGCTCCTCGTGGCGGGAAATAATTCTGCAGTGCTGAAGCACACACAAAATCATACCCTTGGGTTATGACAAAAGCAACAATCCCTGTACAATTCTTTTCTTTCCCAGTCCTGCACAGGTGACATACAAGGTACAAGGTCACCAGTGGTTCTGGAGCAGGCATGCTACAGATACAGCCAAAGCTGGGGACTTGGGCTGAGGTGTGCCAGTGCTTCTGCTAAAACCAGAGCTGGAGGTTCCTGGCTAGAGGGTCTTGCCCCTCTGCTCAAGTTCAGACCGATGGTCATATTTGGGGTCAGGAAGGAATTTTACCCCATGGTCAGATGGTACCGACTGCAGGGGGTTTTGCCTTCCTCTGTAGTGGCGGGGGGTGGTGCTCTCTACTCAGGGTCTCTTGAGCATATATGGACATTTCATAGAAATAGGACATTGGCTGCTGTGGTTCCCCTGTTTTAACTGTGTCAGGTTAGGATGTTAGGTCTGCGTTGTGTCAAGGTTGATGGTAGTCTTAGTTAGAGTTTAGATTATTGTTTATATAGGATGGTTTGGATGGGGTTGCACTAGATGACCTGTGGAGGTCCCTTCCAGCCCGACTTCTCTATGATTCTACAGTCACTTGGGGATGCAGTGTCCATTCTGCTTAGGTTCTCAGGCCAATGGTTGTTGTTTGGTGGATATGTCGAATGTAAGCACTTTGAGAAGACACTCAGATCTGTGAACCAAGTCTGGTAGTGTTGAGAAAATAAATCACATTCGAATTAAAAATGGAGGCTTGTAAATCTCCGTATGCACCTTGGTTACCTACCGCTAGAGAAAGTGTTAAGGATACAAGAGACCGCTTCCCCCAGAGCACAGGTAATGGAAAAGGGGAGCCCTAGTGTTTCTGCATTTATAATATCATATGGCAATTTCTGCTTTAGATTGATTAATCTTCAAAACTAAGTGGGGGAGTCTTTGAAGACTAAATAATTGTAGCTGCTTATACTTTCTGCAGGAGAGCTCCTTTCAAGCATGCCATGCAATGTTCACATTAAGTGTGCAAACACGATGCACAAGATAAACCAAGAGATTTCAAATAGGAATCCAGTGTTAAAAACATTCTTCTCTGCTGTGGTATTTCGGAGTTGTTTTGTAACAGAAGAATTGCACCATAGTTTTTCTGTAGTCAAAAATAAGTGAAGACTAACAGTTGCATTTTCCAAGGGGTGCCTTCCGTCTATCCAGGTATGCCTCAAGTCTAAACAGGTTGCAAACCACTGGTTTAGAAGGTCTTTGATGTATGCAGAAGTGAATTTCCCTTGAGTGGGATAGAACAGTATTGAACTTCATGATTATTCCTGTGAACAGATTGCCCCGCAGATTATTGTGGACTGATTCTCCAATACGATATTAAGACGAGGACAGTGGACTCCTTACTGGATTGATGTGTACCTCGGATCAAAATCAGTCCCAAATAGACCTGCCGAGGGCCACCCAATTGTGAATTTCCTTGGGTGGAACATCCAGGTATTCTGAACATTCCCCACCTGAACCTTGCATAATTTACTCCGACTGGTTCTGGGTTTCTTGCTTTGTCAGAGGAACACAAGAAACATCCAGACGTGTTAGTTCTTAAACTAACCAGTGGGAAGGGTTGCGAGCAGTTGCATGAAATTCAAGATTCTGAAAAGAATGTCCATTTTAATTAAATTAGTTCTATCCATCAGGTTCAATGTGAGGCCACGCCATCTGGGGAGATCCAGCCTTAGGTTCTAGAGGAGTAGAAGTAAATACAGAAAAAAATGCTTAGTGACTTGGGATGACAACTACATTATTAAATATGTAAAGCCCCTGGCAAAGCAGTTGGCTTGCCAAAGACTTGTTTTAACAATTTCCCTTCTATTCTTTGGGCTCAGATCTGCTTCCACTGAAGTCAACTGGAGTTTTGTAATTGATTTCAGAGAGAAAAGGACTCGGCCCTTAATTTCCAATGACATTTGCTTCAATCAGTCACAGTTGCCTGCTCTTTCACTAATTCCTTCCTCTCTCTCCCGCAGTTCAGCAACACAATCAGAGCTCCTGATTTCCTCCACTTCCTAGTGAAATCTGGAAGCCTGGCTTTAAAAAAAGGGAGAAAGAACAATTCTGTGATGAAGGCCCTGACCCACGACACAGGAATTCTGATTAAATATCTTTCTTGTTACCATCTCACTGCGGGACTCTGGACAAAGCACTTGATTTCTCTGTGGCTCAGTCCCCGACCTGTAAACTAAGAGTAGCAATACTTCTCTAACTTGGGTTACAAGGATAAATTAGGTAATGTTCTTGAGATACTGAGAAGCAATGCATGCCATACAAGGCCTTAGGATAGCAGTTCTTAGCATTTTTACACTCAAGGCACCGCACAATAGATTGGAGGCATGCCTCGATAGACTCAGGGCACCTCTTGGCAAATGTCAGCCCTTAATTTTCACCTTTTTTTTACTACAGAAAAATAATAAAGCATCCTTCTGTTGCAAAGAATTAAAAAAGATCACAACATGTTAGGAAGTTTTTAATACTATAGATCCCGTTACAAAATTCTGGTTTCATCCTATGAATCATTTTTGTGCGTCTAACTTTGCTAACATTGTGCAGTACCCAATGGAATCCTGGCTGAGAATTGCTGCCTTAGGGCTTAAGTACACATGGGGTTATTCTTGATTAATTTTATCCATGGACACACTTATCCTGGGATAAGAATATTCACACACGGAGTTTATTAGTAATAACTCCAGGAGACAAGTCCTCACAGAGGAAAAATAAATGGCTGGCAGAAGCTTCAGTGATTGCTATACACTGAGAGCATTAACTTTGTAAGAAAGAATGGGATGAGATTTTACTACTGGTTATTAAGCGCCAATTGCACACTAGGAGTTCTCTCAAAAAAGTGAAATAGCTGGATGGCTTCTTTATAACCTACAGAAATGAGCACTAAGTATTGTTTTAAATTAAATGTTTAAGACATGAAGCTCCTACCTTTAGCATGTAGCATTCTAAATCAAAAGGCAAATAAATGTTCATCTGAAATATTATTTGGATTATAAGAATTTTTGGATCTTAGGGGATACAAAGTTTCACACCACCTAAAAAGAATTCAAAGCGACTGTTCTGTTTGAGGGTGGGAAATAACAAACAGGTAAGTTTTCAAGTGCACTACACTCTGAAAACCTCTCTCACGTGAGAGGAAACTCCTTTCAGGGGGACTAATTTTAAACCAGTTTGAAGTCTCACCTCTTGAGATGATGGGCTTTGCTGTTTCAGTTAATCAATTTCTAATGCATTTGCTTCTGCTGGGACTTAAAGCTAGAAGTTCCTGGCTAAAAGGTTTTGCCCCTCTGCTCAGGGTCAGACTGCTTGGGCAGATTTGGGGTCACGAAGGAAGTCTACCTTTCCTGAATGGTCAGATTGGTAGGAACTGCAGGGGCTTGGGGCTTCTTCTGTAGCAGGGGGTGCAGCTCTACCTGGGATCTCTCTTGCCTATATTAATGACCTTTTATACAAGCAAGGCATTGGCTGCTGTGGGTCCCCTGCTTTAGGGGTGGTAGGTTCAGAAGCTAGGTCTGTGTCATCAGGGTTGAGGGTCCTCTTGTCTAGAATCTAGGATAGATGATGGTCTATACGGGATGGTTCGAACAGGGATGATCCTGCCTCGGGCAGGACTAAACGACCTCTGGCGGTCCCTTCCAGCCTGACTCCAGCAATTCTCTGATGAACGCACCGATCACCGTAACACCGAAGCATCGCCGGCCATTATGATCCAAACTTTTTGAACATCTGCTCAAACAGCCCAGCCCTGGCTGCAGTGGAAAAGAAAACAGAAATGGTTGGTGGGAATTTCAAATCCAGTCACCCTGCCATGCTCACTGCTGCGCACTCGACACCGCCTGGGTCCCAGAGCAGCCTTACCATGAAAACCAGAAGCAATGCCGGCATGCAAAGAGGTGCCGTGGGGGGCCAGTCCTGCCCTGCGCTGCGACGGTTCCTTCCCAGGTCCCTTCTACCCACGCGCCGCGGTCTCAGGCATGCAGCTCCTAGTCCCCCAGTCCTTCAGCTACGGACACTCAATGCTGACCGGGCTTTTCTAGCGCGCGCTGGCAAGAGAAGCAGGGACCTGCCAGCCCGAGCGCTAAGTCTGACATTTGATTCCCCCGATTGTGCCGCCTGGAGATTACTCCTCCCCCCCCACCCCCAGCTCATGCCCTTGGCTCCCGGGCTGGGGTGGCAGGCGGGCTTCGCCGGGCCCGGGAGCTGCCAGGGGCCGGGAGGCGCGGGGCGGCT